CATGTTATTCAACATTCAACCTTAGCATGCATTCTAAGCAAAATATTAAACGTGCCGGTACATGGCCTAACTAAAACCGATCTCCTCGAGCCTAGAGGGATCGAGGGTCACCTAGGGATCCTGTAACAAATATCTTGAGTCTTCAAGTATGGTTGCCTCAACCTTCGCTCCGTCTCAAAGTACATTATAAAACATCATTCTAAATTTACAATAAATTAATATTAAACTAATTTTACATCAACAATTTAGAAACCTCGATTTATATTCGAGGGGATGAGATGAGAAAAGAATGTACATTAAGAAAAGAGAGAAGGCAGGACACGCAGGCCCTATTTAAAATATACAGCCATACATACCCAAAATAATTTAAAACATTCACCCTTAGGTCTAAGGCTCATGTACCGCGCACCATGCATATACAAACAAGTACAAAGCATACATTTCAAAAATAATCAATTTTGAATTGGGTGGGTTAATTAATTAATTACCCTCTAAATGTGCAGAATGTTCATTGGCTTTATAGGTTATTAAAACTGCAGATTAGTCCCTTTGCAAAAAAAGAAGAAGGAAAAGCTACAGCCTTCGCCGCGGCGAGGATTTACAGTATGCACTTCCCTGCTGCATACTTCGCCGCGGCGAAGGTTTTATCTTCGCCATGGCGAGGATTTAAATTAGGTCTAGCCGCCACAGACTTCGTCGCGGCGAAGGTTTTATCTTCGCCGCGGCAAAACTGTCCAGAGGCTCCTCGCCGCGGCGAAACCTGGAAATCCCCAATTCGTACAGTTCGCGTTTTTGCAGTTTTTTGTGTATAAACACAAATCCAAATCAAATCAAACGTGCATACGTTCAACCAGGATATTAACCAACCAATATAACATTCATCAACACATTGTTAAACCAGTTTATCATTTGAATCACTCATTCAAGATGGATTACAGATTTTTCAGTTTTAACAAAATCTGGGTTTTTCATGGCAGATTCATCAAGGCAGCATGTTATCAACAAATACATGTATCAACCATTCAATAACTGTAAATCTAGTACCCTAGGCTCTGATACCACTGTTAGGAAACGACCCGGTTGCGCAGCAGAAAACAAAAATTACAACCATGGATCGTTCCTTGAACCCAAAATCAGGGCATAGAAAATTACAGTTATATTTATAAGAATCTGCAGAAAAATAAATCCAAAGGTTTAGATTCATACCCACGTTTGAAGGCTCCACCAATGTTGTCCCTGAATGTGTTTGCTACCGATCCAAGTGTAGGATCGAACCGTAGAGGTCCATACGAAGACAATCAACAAGAACCAAGGAGGGATTTGCTAGATCCTCCTTGGCCTTAAGAAATCAAGAAGAAAAACAAAATGTTTGTTTTCAATGGAACAGTGAAAGGGGCGTGGGAGTGAGTGTAAAAGGGGCTGCTGTGTGTTTTTATCAAAAGGCAAAAAAATGAATTAATTTTAAATCACACAAACACTATTCCTTTATAGGCAAACCAAGTTGCCCTATTCCCACATGGAATGGGCTTGGGCTCCAACCCAAACACCCCATGTTGCCAAACACTCCCACATTAGATATTTTAATTTAATTCATCATTATCTTAATTAAAATCAATTAATATTTAATTAACATTTAACAGTAATGATGATTTAATTAAATATGTACGAACACACATTTAACCGTAATTTCACTTATTTAATTTTTTTTTTAACAAATTAAATAAAAAGGCTACGACCTCAGCAAATTTAATTGCACTGTAAAATTACCAAAATACCCCTTCGCCCAAAAGACGAAAAGCCCTTCTTTCTTCTTGGCTCTTAAATTATTTCTATGTGTGTGACCCATAGGCTCCTCATCATACGGTAGTGTATAGTATCGCGATTAACACCAATTAATCGTCTCACTAATACACAGACCAAGATTGGCCCTAGCAAGGCATCATGGCCCACCGATAGATTCGGATTCAGCAAAGTAGCTACCTGTCAACGATATGGTTACTGTACAATACGACCCTTTCATCATACGTTATCTCAACGAGACGAAGGCATAGAAATAGTGTCAACCTTCGGTTACTCTCGATATTTATATTCAGTTTCTGGACCAATGACCGTATTATAATCTGGATAGAGCAACAACTCAATCCCACTGTGGCCACAGTTTCAGTGTCATTGCCATATACTGAATTACGCCGTGAGATAACTTCTCCCGTACCCGGGAGTGATGAATCCTTTGTCAATCCACCATAGTCTTGATACACTCCTTGATATAGTCAATCCACACCGTACTGACAGCTTGCTAGAACTGCGTTAGGCTAGTATCAACTGTACCAATCGGTGCACAAGGCGCTCGGTGATCTCAAGTCTAAGGATCACATGCACCACCATTCGTTAGAGGATTTGTTCCATAGACACTGGGGTTACCATCCATATGGAATCCTCTGGTGGGTCAGTCCAGTGAATTGCTGTGGTATACCGCCTACAACAAGCACCCATGTGTTGCACCAGGTTGTCACCAACAACCTTGACAAGTGAGATCAGTCACTGCCTTTCGACAGGGTCGTTAACTATGATAGCCTTACCGTATTATCTGTGCCCTTACTTCAGAATAATACTGGGGCTACGGACGTTTTAAATGGCCACATATGTGCTCATAGGGTTCTCACTATAGATTGAAACACTTGATACCCTCGTCACGGTTCTACCATTCTAAGGACATATATCAATACATATTGCAATAATAATGATTTACGCGATATAGAATAAAATGCCTTTTATTATTGATTAATGAACATTATTACAAAGAGTCAATTCCACAATAATTGATTGGCTCTAGGGCATCTCTCTAACATGAGGGTTATGAAACATTGCTAGAAGTCTACCATAATCAGTGGAGTTTCGATTATAAAGAGTTATAATGAAACATATTGGAATCCGATATTGGGCCCACAGCTAGATCATAGTGAATCACAAATGGTCACACATAAAACCAAGCTCAAGAGAGAGAGTAATGCATATCATTATTGGATTAATGATGTTCGCACGTAACGGTTGCATCCGACTAAAGTATTGGATAGCTAACACTAACCAAGGGTAATAAGGATTTATTAAATATTATTATTGAATCGGATTCAATAATGGGGACAAAAGTGCATTGGTTTTATTCTAAAGAGTTAGAATATTTAATAGGATTTAAATTTGGGCTAATTATGAACTAACCATAAAACCAAGGACTTGACATAAATGCTCTTTTCCAAAATTTAATGTTTTGAAGACTTCCCAAGCAATTTAAAATTATACTTTGTGCCCATGGTATATAAACCAAGTGTTATACCATTTTCATTCAATTGAAAAATTGAAACAAAATCACTCTCTAATTTTCTCACTCTCATTGGCTCGCTCTTCCTTGGCTTGTGTGGATCACATTTCGAGATTCTTCAAGTTCAGTTGAAGAACTAAGACTCCAAGAAAGAAAATTCAAGTGTTGAATAGCAAAGAAGTAGGTAATATTTCATCCTTACCTTAAAATTTTTGGGCTTGTATGTTATGTTTGTGTTCTACCTTGCATCCATCATCTTGTTCATTATTTTTACACCATTTCTATGTTCAAATGCATGAATCCAACAATTAGAGCCCTAGGACCCTTTGCTATAGTTAGATTTAGGTTTACTTAATGTCGTTTTATGTTTTCTTTATTTCATTTCTTGTTACTTTCACCAAGACATAGTTTCTAGAGATCATGAGAGCACTTCTAGTCTTGTGGGATCGACCCTTACTCATGCACTTTGCTGCGATTGCAACTCGTGCCTTTGCGAAGGATTAAACTTTGTATTTGTCAGAAGTGCTAATCAAGTTTTGTAGTAATTTAACTAAAATAACAAAAATTATATACAACATAACTGTCAAACTAGAATTAACTGATATTATTCAATGAAATTCTATAAAAAAAAAAAATTAGAAACCCAAAAAACACAACAACATCCAGCAAACCCATTGGCGTTTTTTGATCTCTGCTCAAATTTAACAATTAAAATTCATATACGTCCTTTTCACAAATCAGCGCAACATTAAATCCAACAAATGCAAAACACCCTTTTCAAGAATAGAATCCTCAAATCCTCCAACCACTGAAAATCCACAAAAATCACAAACCCATAGACCATAAGATCCAAAAGAAAAAATGTGTGCACGAAAAGAAAGGGTTGCAGGTTACACCGACATCACAACCTCCAGCGTAAAAGGAAGAGATGATGGCGAAGAAAGGATAAGATAAAAAAATAATAATAATAAATAAATAAATAAGAAAAGGAAAAGAGAAGTGAAAGGGAAAGGGAAAGGGGAAAGCTACAGAGACTGAGATTTTAATTTTTACGTTTTGATTTCTAAGGCTTCATGTAAATTGACCATTCTACCATTTTTCAATATGGAATTTCCTAACAGAACATAACAGTGGGTGAGAAGTGTCATTTTGAAACTTCATCGGCGGAAAAGTGTCGTTTCGCCAAACCATGGGTGGGAAAATGTCAGCTCTCCCTTTATCATTTGATTAAATTATAATAATTGCCTGCATTGTAGAGGTGCTAATAGGTTTTTACTCGTTTCATTTCAGTAAGTGCTTTATCACTCTGAGAGCGGAAAGAATTTTAATATTTCAACATTCAAGATCAAAATTTCCTGACTCAAAATCAAAATATGAAATTTGGATTTGTCAAAATAGAGCAAAATTACATAAAAGATTCAAGGACCTTTTTAATATTAGTTGGCTTGCATATCAACCAAACGGGAGCACAGGATGCCCTCTTATGTGCCAAAAAATTAGAAAAAATATATATACAGCCCACTTTTCTTTTCTAAAGTATAGAAACAATTTACAACTTGTCTCCAAACTTTCTGCAAAAGTAAAACTGTGCGAAGGATGTGCTTTATTACTCTGTCACAATCAAACCACAGCTGCTGCATATAATTGCCATCTTTCAAAAGAGCACACCCAAACGGAGGAGCTTTTAGTGGGGTTGTGGCCGTGTCTGGACTATGTAGATATCTTTGCCAACCAGGCATCCTTCCACATCCTGTGGACACCCAAACTTCCTCTCGAGAAAAAAACCAACCGAAGACAGGCGCTGACCAAGCTGCTGACGGAAAATTGGTTCAGTTGTCAATGGTTTCTCGCTATAATCTACTGTCAAATGAATAACTTCTCCATCAGCAGAACCTGCACGAGATACCAGCAGCTCCTCACTGAAATTGGCAAATGCCAATGTTCTTACATGCCCATCAAACTTCCCAGAAGACATTCGCCATGGTGTGCCTCGAGTACCTGAAGCTAGGGTTTCACCAAGCCCAGGGGCAATCTCAGCCTCTACAGAACTATTGTCAGAGTCTGTTGGGCTGAGAGTGTGTAGCACAAATGAAAGTTCAGGGGAAAGCATTTCTTGCACCAGAATAGCCATCTCAGCCTCCTTCTGAAGTACACCAGCAGCTCGACGACTTAAAACTGCTCTGCGAGTGTAAAGTGAAGCCCAGACTCGAGCAATGGCATTTGCAAATACTGTCGGATTTGAAGGGCTAACATTTGGGATTGAATCATATAGTCCAGCAGCTGACATTCCAGCCAAATCCTCAACATTGGCACTTGAACGGACAATTAAACGAGCATCACTTGGAAATATTCTTTCAATGCTTTCCACGGTGTCTTTAGGGGGCTGTAGAGAACATATTATATCCTGAAGTTCACAACATAGTTTGTCAAGTTCACTTCCATCCACTCTTGCTGTTTCTATTCTTTCTAGAAGAGACATGAATTTTTCCATTGATTTGCTTTGTTCTAGAGCTAATTCCATAGAGCCAAAAGGTATAACTAATCCTGCAGGGACACTAAATGAAGCTGGCACCCCCTGTTCATTATAAACTGCCATCAAGAAAACAATACCCACAAAAATTTAATTAAAATTTAGCACTTCCAAATTGTACATGTACATCAGGACACAGGAAATATGCCCTTTAATATGTCAAAAGTTTTTCCTATAGCATAAGTTTAAAAGACATAGACAGTCACATCATAAATTTAAGAAAATAAGCTTCATTATACCCTTTAAGAGAGTCTTGAATTCATTCAGTACTTTACTTTTTTGTAAAATTAAAAGGAAATTCAGGTCTGTCAGGACAAAATGCTTGAAATATTGCAGTTCTTAAGCAACTATGATGGATATCCAACATACTTAACAAGCACAAGTAAGAAAAACAATAAAGCATTGCCTGAACATCATGTTCTATGAGACAGTTAAGCTTACACATATTTTCAAATGTTGATGTGAGGATAAGGATGTCATGTTGGCGTAAGATTTTATGATGATGGATTTAGAAGCCTTCATCGTGAAGGTGAAGATAGATTATGAACCAAATTCAATGTTTCTTGAAGAAAGGAATAAAAGGATAAACAAACTTTTTATTTAAGTGCGTGTTGGAACCCTCCTGCAACACAGAAACTCACGGCAACCAACACACACATACACAATGGCAATAGGCACAAGAATAACTAATGACAGATTGTATTAATGGATACTGAATGAAAGAACAGAACAAATGCAATTGGAAAACAGATAGCTCCCAGCAATTCGAGGAGCTGGGGACCTTCCACCCAATTTCCAGAATATAAACTTGATATCCTACTCTCCACACTCTCTCCCTTTTATAAGCTAGTTATTCTCTTTTGTAACAGAATTGACAGCCACCTGTCCAGCCACCTGTCCAGACTCATAACAGACTCCACAATCCTAACAGCTTTTATTGCACACCTCAACCCCTGAAAACAAACTCATACCCAACACCTCTTTATTCCTATTCCTTCCTTTGCCCTTGGATTTATAGACCTTATGTATGGGAGGTCTAACAGTGCGCATTCAACAGTAAACAAGCCTGTTTTCATCCAGACATATGTATGGCATAGATTTTGTTGAACAGACAAGTATCACAAAAAGATGATCTCACATATAGATCAGACACTTGGGTTTCGTTTGTTTGAAATGCTGAGATGCTCAAGTTGGTTCATTTTTTAACCATGTAATGTGCAAACAATTTATTATTTTGATGCTTGATGCAAGAGTCATATAAAAAAATGTTTAAAGAATAAAAATAAACTGTATATTTGTGGTAAGAAGGATACCAAACAAATTTAACCTAGGGTTTTCATGAATTATAGAAATTGAACAAAAACTATCAAACTAAAATCAAACAAAATAAAACAGCAGACAATCACGAAAGAGATAAATAGAGAAACTGGATGAGGTTTATTCACACACACTAGACATGAATATATAATAAAAACACTTTTAACTTTTTACCCTTATCACATAGCCAGAAAATACCAAACGTGATAAGTTCTATCTCTCCTTACTGAGGTTGGATTAGAAACGGTCAACTAATTCCCTATTTATAGATAACCTAGGATACAATCTCTAGATTCAAAGTAATAAAAGCATTAAGTTACGAGAGACCTACTGAATCAAGGCTAAACTCATACGGTCGGTGTTAGTTATCTTGAGTGATTACCCCCATGTATGCAGGCATACACTTACCACTAGTCATTTAGGTTAATAAAGCGATTTTGTACTAAACAACCTAAATTGGCATTAATAAATTAATCCTAACTATTGAATTGCGCACTTAAACAATTAAGACAATCTATCTAAACATATTCATAGAGAAATAATCACATAACCAAGAGGGATCAAAAGATAAATAGATGCAGATTTTATTAATCACAAGCATGTATGGGTTTTGAAATCACCTTAATCACAAAAGAATTAGTTCTTCATGAATAAATATGAGAAATCATTGTATTATTCATAACAAATAATAATAACAAGAAGAAGAAAAACTTAGTGAAACTTGGATTAATGAAGTTGATGATGACTCCTCCAATTCTTCTTCTCCAAGCCTTCTTTAATCTCCCTTTTTCTAGTTCTTGAATATCTTTGTTCTCCCTTTTTTTATCTCTAAAAGAATTCTCCCAAATAATGCTAAAAGATTTCTATTATATCCCACAAGGGTTAGGGTTTGTTTTCTTAATTCTAGTTAGTTAGGACTCTAAAACCCTATTTTCTTAGTCAAAAACGAAGAAAAGTTCCAGCGTTGTGACTGTGCTGCGGCACTATATGCAGCACAGTAGCTACTGAAAAGTGGCGGCCAGTAGCAAGTCTTCTTCCCGCATCATTCCACTATTCTTCAGAGATGGTGATTTTGAACTCGATAAAGACGGAATTTCGAAAAGTGGTAAACATATGAAATGTAACCTTTGAAAAATATTTCCAACGGTCTAAGAATCGTCTAATCCAGTTCTACAATTCAAGATATTCTCAAAATACCGAGGCATGCTCAAGCTGGAACGTAATCTAGAATCTTTCTTTACTTCAACTTCCATAACTTCTTCAATTCAACTCCGATTCTCATCCATTTGTTTCCGTCTCATAAATTCTCTCGCCAACATCATTCTCATCCAAATATTAATTTTGAGCCTCATTCCTTGAAAACACAACAAAAATACCTGTGATCCCTAAAAGTGCATTTATGAAACAATTAAGTTAATTCATGCGAATTAATTTAATTTCCAACAAATGATACCTATAAACCACTAAGTTAAGTATTTTCAAGCACTTCATGGGCCCACAGCTAGATCATAGTGAACCAAAATGGTCACACTAAAACCAAGCTCAAGAAGAGAGAGTAATGCATATCATTAATTGGATTATGATGTTCGACGTAAACGGTTGCATCCGACTTAATGTATTGTGAGCAATATTATCCATAGATAGCTAACACTAACAAGGGTAATAAGGTTTATTAAATATTTTACTGAATCGGATTCAATAAGGGGACAAAAGTGCATTGGTTTTATTCTAAACATTAGAATATTAATAGGATTGAAATTGGGCTAATTATAAACTAACCATAAAACCAAGGACTTGACATAAATGCTCTTTTCCAAATTAATTTTAAATTGTTTGAAGACTTCCCAAGACAATTAAAATTACACTTTGTGCATGGTATATAAACCAAGTGTTATACCATTTCATTCAATTGAAACATTGAAACAAAATCACTCTCTAATTTTCCCTTCACTCTCTTGGCCTCTCTTCCTTGGCTTGTGTGGATCACATTTCGAGATTCTTCAAGTTAGTTGAAGAACTAAGCTCAAGAAAGAAAATTCAAATGTTGAATAGCAAAGGAGTAGGTAATATTTCATCCTTACCTTAAAATTTTTGTTGGCTTGTATGTTATGTTTGTGTTCTACCATCATCTTGTTCATTATTTTTACACTATTTCCATGTCCAAAATGATGAATCCCAACAATTAGAGCCCTAGACCCTTTGCATATAGCTAGATTTAGGTATACTTTAATGTCGTTTTTGTTTTCTTTATTTCAATTCTGTGTACTTTCACCAAGACATAGTTTCTAGGATCATGAGAGCACTTTAGTCTTGTGGGGATCGACCTTACTCATGCACTTTGCTGTGATTGCAACTCGGCACTTGCAAAGGATTAAACTTTGTATCTGTCAAAGTGCTAATCAATATTTTGGTAGAATTTAACTAAAATAACAAAAATTTATATACAACATAACTGTCAAACTAAATTAATGATATTATTCAAGTGAAATTCATATAAAAAAAATTCAGAAACCCAAACAACACAACATCCAGCAAACCCATTGAAGTTTTTTGATCTCTGCTAAAATTTAACAATTAAATCATATACGTCCTTTTCACAAATCCGCACACATTAAATCCAACAAATGCAAAACACCTTTTCAAGAAGAATCCTCAAATCCTCCAACCACTGAAAATCCACAAAAATCACAAACCCATAGACCATAAGATCCAAAAGAAAAATGTGTGCACGAAAAGAAAGGGTTGCAGGTTACACCGACATCACAACCTCCACGTAAAAGGAAGAGATGATGGCGAAGAAAGGATAAGATAAAAAAAATAATAATAATAAAAAATAAATAAGAAAAGGAAAAGAGAAGTGAAAGGGAAGGGAAAGGGAAAGCTACAGAGACTGAGATTTTAATTTTTACGTTTTGATTTCTAAGGCTTCATGTAAATTGACCATTCTACCATTTTTCAATATGGAATTTCACAAGAACATAACAGTGGGTGAGAAGTGTCATTTGAAACTTCATCGGCGAGAAAGTGTGTTCGCCAAACCTGGGTGGGAAAATGTCGCTCTCCCTTTATATTTGATTAAATTATAATAATTGCCTGCATTGTAGAGGTGCTAATAGGTTTTACTCGTTTCATTCAGTAAGTGCTTTATCACTCTGAGAGCGGAAAGAATTTTAATATTTCAACATTCAAGATCAAAATTTCCTGACTCAAGTGTTTTCAGGCATTTAGGTGCAAAAAGATGGATTATTTGTGCTTGTGTTGGTGTTCGGACATCCTGGACTAGTTCGAGTGCATATAAATTAAAGCATGAAGAAAAAGAGTAAATGCAAATTGCACCGCAAAACATTTCTTGCGCCGTGGCACAAATCAGCGTAACCTAAGTCACGCCACAGCGAAGATTGACGACGTCGCAACACAAAACGGCGAAATCCCTGTGGCGCCACAACGCTATTCAACTGCGCCGCGGTGTGGTACTGTTTTTTTCGAAGAAAAAATCGCCTAGAAAAGCGTCGCGGTGCAATTCAACCATGTCGCGACACAAATCGCGTAGATGTAAAAATGTCGCATTTCCAACCCTAATTTCGACAACCAATATTTACAAGTTTTCAATTTTGTCTAAAAACTATATAAAGGCAGCTTTAGTCCGTTTTTAGAAGTTTTTGGGTTTTACAAACATACTTTGGGGAGAATACATTTAGGGCTTCTTGGAAAGGTGGAGCTTGGAGATG